GCCCTAAGGAGAATTTGTTTGGAAGTTTTCTTAATTCATCAAACACTGATATAGTGTCAACTTGAATTAGGTTTACAGGGTCAATGAGTCTGACACAGTCTTTAAAATCTGGAATGGGAGCACCTTTATCTTTCTCATATACACCAGAGAAGAATTCAGCAAAAAGGTTAGCAATTTCGATATTGCCCTGTGCCCTTCTGTTACCAAGATACATTTCTTGGGGATAACTCGAAGATTTAAGAAGTCTGCCAATGTATCCCCAAAATTCCCTGGGGTTATTACTAAATTTTTTTTCAAGAGATGAAAAATGTTGTTTCCGACAAAGTGTATGTTCAACTTTACATTGATCACGCAGATTATAGAACAATAAGTAGTCCTCGTTTGATTTAGATAATTTAAACCTCAGATGAGCTTTTTTCTTTTGAATAATAAGATCTTTAAGTTTTATTGAGAACCAAATTGGGAACTTGTAGGGAACACTTGACAGCCTTCATAGGAACAAAAATATCTAAACACTGATACATATAGCTGTAAAATATTTGACAAGCCTCATTTATATTATTACAATGGTATAATGCATCCCAATTAACTGAAGATAGATAAAGGTTAACAGAATTAAAATTACAGTTTTTGAAATCATAAACATCGTCTTCATAAAAAACCGACTCTTTAAAATAACCAATAGGGATAAAAAATTCATACGGCTTATGCCTGAATGATTCACAAAACAATGGATCGACCGGCATACACACATTTAGATCAGGTATATGTGAAAAAATGAGATCCAGGAATGTTCCATGTCTGTTTGGTACATTATTGCACTGATGGAGATTTAAAAATGCAAAAGATCCACATACTGTATTCGCATGAGAGCCATCAGGAAGTATGATAGATAAATAAACCGCGTTTTGATCATTAGCCCATTGATCATCTCTCAAGTTGTAATCGCCAGCCAAGATCACAGAACTCCGTGGATGTTGACTTATCAGTTCCTCAAGAAAGGTGCATTGATATTCATATGCCTCAGCTAATGAACTAGGTGGTATATAGATTCCTCCTATTATAAGCTGATCATAATTCAGTTTAACTTCCACAAAAAGTTGTTCTATGTTAAACAAATTTGACTTACATATTAGTTTAGAGGGTAGGTTTTTCTTGATTGCAATATACACTCCTCCAACCCACAATGTCCAAACATTATAGTTTAATAGATCAGTCTCACTAACCAAAAACTTTTCAGATAGCCACGATTCAATCAAAATAACAATATCATAATCATTTAGTAGCAAAGAGTCCCTTAACTGAGAGAATTTAGTTTGAAGTCCACCACCATTATGAAAGTAACATTTTAGATTACTTCTCAGTTTTTTGGCTGGTAAATAGTTTTTTTTCACTATTGTAGGCTTATCATTAATGAATTTGATTGTTTTAGAATTATCACCTTTCTTAACCATATCATCTAATTGTAATTTGGTTTTCTTGAAATACTCTTGCTGGGCTTTTGTTTGATCCAGGGAAATTCTGACATCGGGCACTTTAATTAATCTTTTATTTTTGACATCGAAAGCGTTTTTGACTATATACCGATTTCTGTGATACTAAACAAACTACACCAGAACAAGCTATCTGGTAATATATATTCGTTTATAAAAAAATTTCTCACAGAGCGATCCTTTAAAATAATTAATAATGGCAAAACTTGCTCACAACACTCAACCACAAACCACAGTTTACACTGCTGAACTATATGGAATACTACAAGCAGTGAAAACTCCACTCAACCATGATAAAACTATAGCAATCTGTGAGGACTCTCTGTCCTCCATTCAGTCCATAAGAAACATACATTCTATCCACCCAATAGTTCAAGAAATCCAAAGTATATGTAATCATCTTCAAATTAATGGAATTACAGTAACAATATGTCGGTGCCATCACACATTGGTATTCCAGGTAACGAAAATGCTGATCAAGCAGCCAAACAAGCATGTTCTCTTAATGTATCAACAGACAATCAAACATCATCAGATCTAAAAAGAACACTCAAACATACAATAATGGACCTGTGGAATGATCATTGGGAAAAAGCCATACTAAGTTAAGCGTTCTACAACCAAAGGGGAGTTCCAGAGTATGACATTTATAGATGTGATCGTGAATTAGGGTTAAACATTCTAAAGACACGTGGAGGTGGTGTATTAATCGCAGCTAAAAAGAGCCTTTTTACTTAAAAAAATCGTAGTTCCTCTTGTTGACTCTGACATATATCAGTTGTACCTAACATTTAAAAGCAAAACTCAAAATTTTGTTATTGGCTGTGTATATATACCTTCTCCATCACCTTCTCAGTCTTATTTAAGACATTGTGAAACTGTTGAATATGTTTACACTAATTTTTCAGATAGTTTGTTTGTCTTGGCAGGTGATTACAACCTACCACAAGCTAAATGGGGCAATGATGAGTTGGGATTGATAGTGACGGGCACTGGAAATGACTCTGTAAGTATTGTACCAAATTGCTTTAGTTTCTATAACTTCTTTCAAAAGAATGATATTTTGAACAGCAAAGCACCATTGGACCTGGTTTTTTAGTAATTTGGAATCTATTAATGTTACTCCAGCAGCAGATAAAATTTTTGAGAATTGTTTAAATCATACAGCTATCAGTTTTGAACTAGTGTGCGAAGAAATTTTGATGTTAAAACTGACATGGAGTTTTAGAGGCATTTTTAATCCTGAACAATTTGGCTTTATGAGAGGGAGGTCAACAGATACCAACCTGGTTTTGTATGTCAATCATATATATATATATATATATATATATATATATATATATATATATATATATATATTATATATATATATATATATATATAAATATATAACAGCTTTGAAGAGGGGTGCCAGGTTGACTCAATCTATACTGACTTTTCCAAAGCATTTGATCGGGTAAACCATGGGGTCCTCTTACAAAAACTAAGAGCTTTGGGTATTTTGGATATCCTTCTTCAGTGGATTACAGAATTTGTTGACAGTTAACTTGGGAAGTGACACTTCAACTGAAATAACAGTTCCATCAGGCGTGTCACAAGGCTCCCATTGTGGCCCTGTTTTGTTTTGCTTGTTTCTGGTTGATTTAGTACAACAAATAAAAAATTGTAGTGTTCTTATGTTTGCTGACGATGTAAAATTGTTTAGAAAAATTCAATCCTGGAATGATGCTGTTATATTACAGGAAAATCTTAAATCATTTAATGATTGGTGCACTTTAAACAAAATGTCACTCAATATAAACAAATGTCATAAAATGACATTCTCGAGGCAAAGAAATCCAATTACATTTGTTTACTACATAAATAACTTGCCATTAGCCTCGAAAAATGAAGTATTAGATTTGGGAATCTGGTTAGACACCAAACTGTCATTCTCAAGCCACATAAACCAAGTAACAAACAGAGCGATAAAAGTGCTGGGAGTTATCCAACGCACATCTGTGGATCTGTCTTTATTTACATTTAAAAGATTTTATTGTGGTCTCGTTAGGCCCATTCTTGAGTTTGGATCAGTTGTATGGCCCCATCATACCACTGTTACATTCAACAGTTTGAAAGAGTCCAGAATAAATTTTTGAGGGTAGCAGCCTATAAGAGTGGATACAGGAGAGAGGAATACAACTATCAGTGGGTAAGAGATAGTCTTAACTTACCAACACTTGGGTCAAGGAGGACATTGTTAGATGTATGTTTCTTACACAAAGTAATCAATGCTTTTATAGATTGTCCTCAACTCTTATCGCTTGTTAGTCTTAAAGTTCCTAGTAGAAGCAACAGACAATCAGAAATCTTTTCGGTGCCATTTCACCACACTAATAATTATGGTATCAATGAACCAACTACACGATTGGTCCTGAGTGCTAATAGCCTGCCAAGACAAATAGATATTTTTGACTCCAAAATTAGTTTTTTTTAAAAACAACTGTACATCTGTATTATTCTTATATGTTTGTATTATTCTGAGGTGTTTGTTATTTTAATAATTTATTGTTGTTACAGTGTAACTTTGTAAAACTTGTGATTGTTATTTTAATAATATATTGTTTTTAAGATGTAACTTTCTAAAAATTGTAAGTAAATGGATGACATATATAAATAAATAAATATTTTTTACCACCAGTTCCCACCAATGAAAAGAAAGGGTAAATCTATCATTTGAGAATACAACACACATGCCTTACACATGTTACACCAACATCACAACTTCCGTAACACATGTTCTTCTTGACTGTCAACACTACCTAGCGGTCAGAAGAAAATACAATCTTGGTAACAACCTAAAAGACATACTTATCTCAAACAGCAGCAACTATGAAAATGTATTAAACTTTGTAAAAAACACAAAGTTTTACAATTTAATTTAAAACCAAATGTATTGTAACTAATTTGTACCCAGTGTAAAGTATTAACCACATAAACATGAATGAAAAAAAATATGACAAGTTTTATACTTATTTAAAATTTGTAGCTTATCATAATACAAATTATAATTTTGTAAAAATAACTTTATATTTTAAACATTCATATACATGTTTTACAAAAAAATATGGCAACACTGTGACGCCATGCTTTGAGGAAAATATTATTGGTTATGTTGATTGCTTTAAACTAATCATTGCCCAAAATTTCAAAATAAAGTAGGATCAAGTAACATGATGCAAGCCTTGGCAAATATGTGTCTACAAGAGCATCTTATGTATTTGTTATAGTATCATGACTATGGAAAAACTTAACAATAATTTCTATCTGAAGCAGAATTCACTGATTTACATATCAATATTTCATATTCCTAATGCATATCCCTATACGAGTAACAACTTAAGTTTCATAAAAGGAACAAATGAAAACATCAACTAATATACATAAAGAAAAATCAGGTTTTGATATATGAAATACCTCAATGCTATAAACATAAGTTCCTCTGCATTTTTTTATTATTTATCTCACCTGAGGTATCTTCATTTTTTAAGTCTCCAAGATCAAGAGAGGTGGATAGCTGACTCTCTATATATCTTGGATCATCTTCAACAAACTCTTCCTTTATTTCAGATTTTACAGCCTTATCTAAAAAAAATTTAATTTCATCAAAGTTTTTAGTACTATACTATTACAGGGTCTATATTCTTTGATATTACTTAGGTATGCTACCTGAGTTATAGTCATCTGGTTCATTCTTCAAGTCTCTCATATCAAGGGAGGTGGATATTTGACTCTCTAGATATCTTGGATCATCTTCAACAAACTCTTCCTTTATTTCAGATTTTATAGCCTTATCTAAAAAAACTTTAATTTCATCAAAGTTTTTTAGTACTATAATATTACAGCGTCTATATTCTTTAATATTACTTAGGTATGCTACCTGAGCTATAGTCATCTGGTTCATTCTTCAAGTCTGTCATATCAAGGGAGGTGGATATTTGACTCTCTACATATCTTGGATCATCTTCAACAAACTCATCCTTAATTTCAGTTTTTACAGCCCTAGCTAATAAAAAATACGAATTACATCTCGTTTATTAGAACTAATCACTATTTGTCTTACCTGAGTTTCCTTGTGGTCCATTCTTTAAGTCTCCAGGATCAGTTGATGTAGATAGCTGATTCTCTATGAGTCTTTGATCACTTTCAACAAATTCTTCCTTAATTTCAAAGTTAGATTCCATAACTAAAACAACTCGGTGATCAATATCAATATCAACAACGGGCATATACAGTAATTAGTTGTATGGTATGGTTTTCTTCAATATTGGTGCAAGGTGCAGTGGCAGTGCAATGAACGATGAACATAACCTTGTTTAGGTAGGAATCTTGTTGATATGTTTTTGACATTAAATGTAAGCTTAATATACGTCAGTGTTGCCATATACTCAAATATTTCCCACTCTCACATATAAAATTATTGGCAAGATTTATATTATCTATATGAAATAAAAATGTAAAATTGAAAAATACATATATAATTCATTAAAATTATACCTATAAATATTATAAAATAAAATTATATCTTGCATTTCTACCTTTAAAAATACTTATATAATAAAAACCATTAAAATTATGCTTAAGGTAAAAATTAATAGTTTAGAAACTTTATAAACTACACAATAAAGTAAAGTTAAATGAAAAAAAAATTAGGTTAAACAAAAGAATACACTAAATATTTAGCTATTTTTAAAGTAAAAAATATTATTTTATGAATGCTTTTTAATATGAATTCAAAAATTGTGGCTTGTACATTTTTACATTTTACAGAAGTAAAACACTTCACATTTACCTTAGGATATACCAAAATACAAATGTGAAGCATTTTACTTCTGTATAAGTTTTTTAAAACATAAAATTTCGTCAAAGTATCTTTCTATTTTAAACACTCCTACACTTTATACCAAAAAAGTGGCAACACTGTGTCGCACAAACATATATAGTTCCATGCCAGGTTATGTTCATCATTGGACCCAATGACGTATAATATAGACTACGCTACGCAGTCCCCTATTCTCGCTATAGAATCAAGTGTCCGAAAGATCTCGGCTCAAGGTTGAAGGTATGTTTATCACAACAGCGGCGTGCTCATTTATATGTTAATGACAATAATTATTTTTTTAATTAAAATTAAATATTTGTGATTTCTTTTTGTTCCCGTCTATAAGAGAAATAATTATTTTGATAAAATAGTATGGCATTTTACTAAAATAGTAAGTAAATAACTCTCAACAATTTAAAATAAAATTTGCTTGTCACACAAAATGGAGAAAATTTTTCATACGTCCATGATGTTTTCAAACACAAGATCAACTTCGTGATGCTTCGTAAGAAATCATGAACTTCGTGCATCTTCGTATCAAAACAATAAACAATAAACAAAGGTATTCATGTTTTTGGACACTTTTTAAAGCGTTCACACGAGTCCATGGACGTATAAACACAGATGGACTCAGTTATTTACATAAAATTGTGAAGTCAAAATTATTTGAATAGGTTACATTCTGAGCACCTTCAACTGTTGTCACGTTTTTTTATTAAAATTTCTTATTCGCGTATCGCTGAAAATATTACTCCGTATTTCTTACTCTACAGGTGCTATCAAACCAAAATAATAATTTATTAGTTATATTAATATATTTAATTGTAATCAAAATATCAAATGTGCACTTAGTAGGCATTATCATTTAATAATAGCGTATCAATAGATATCAATCAATTATTTTATATGTACAAGCACTGAAAACAATTTATAAATGGCAACGGTGTTTACTTTTCTCTGTCTTATGAATCGACGTCAAACTTCAAATTGCTGTTCCGTGTTGTGTTTGTTTACTGTTTACAGTATTGAGGAAAATTATTTTTCGATATTTTGGCTGTTGTTTTGAGCAGTGATAATCTCTGATTTTGAGTGATATTTGTGAAAAGTTAAATAAACATATTATAATAATGGTGCTACAGTGTTGCATTTGCAAAAAAACGAAATATTTACATCCCGATCTTTCATTTCATTTGTAAGTACCGTCTGTTTACATTATTTAGGATGAGGAAGTCTGCTTGTTTACATTTTAAAATATGTCATTCATAGGCGTATCATTGGGTTTATTTATGTTCATTAATGTATTGAACAAGATATTAGTAGTTCATGAATTTAGTAGACATTTTTAAATTGTAAGTAGATATCATCTGATTACAAAGATCTGTTTAGTACCTTTTTAATTTAATATTCCTCATGGATTCAAATAAATTAGTAAAATGAATAAAACTCATTTATTTTTCTATGTAGGTTTCCAAATAATATTGACGATCGAACTATTTGGGTAGCAAATTTAGGAGAAAATATAAAGGTTTCAAAATATTCCAGGGTCTGTTCTATCCACTTTAGATTAGAAGATTTTGAAATTAAACAAAGTGGCAAAAAATTTTTGAGAATTGGTGCTATTCCAATGTCTGAAGTTTCAGATTCAGAATTAGTGTTAAGGTAAATACAACAATTATATGAATCTAAAAGTAATAAGTTGAATTTAAAATTTAATATCATTATTGCAAAACTTGAAACAAAAAGTAATACATACTGCTTTTCAGATCAGAAACTAGTAGTAAGAGATTATTTTGTAAATACATCAATAGACAATGCATCACATCTTAATTTTAAGTACAATATGAATGCTCCAGGTCCTTCATCAATAAAAAGGTAAATTGAGGGATATACATTTTTGTATTATTTTGTAACATTTGTAACGTTTAAGTTGTATATAATGTATGTAATTCATATTTTAAGGTCTAAGCCAATACTTGATAGACAAGCTTCAACTAATTCATCATCTGATACAGCTTCAGTTGAGAATTTTGAGATGGACATTGATCCTGCAGGTCGTTCACTTAAGAGGCAAGTTGTAAATATATTATTAGTCAATAGTAACTTTATGTATGAATTTTCATTGATAATAATGATTTATTAATGAATTGTTTTATTGTATCTTTAGAAAAAAAATTGAAGTAGAAGATAACCAATCTGATTCATCAAATACTGTAACTGTATCTGACATATCTAATACTATCAGTGCATCAGACATTTCTCCAGAAATATCATTTAGCACAATGTCAGCTTCTGAGACTGAGCAAGTTCAAGCTGAAAATGATATTCCTAGTGCCACACTACAAGAAAAAAACAATTTTCCGTCTATATTGTCAAAGAAAATGTAAGTTACAAACATTTTTTTCTTTATTATTATTAATTATTATACTTTATTTTGTAATTATTTCCAGGAAAAATAGTTCAGATGAGAAAATGTCAAGTAGTGAATTTTCTACTCCCATAAAGAGAAAAAGAAGACAAGTTTTGGAAAACACTGTTGTGTGTCAAAAAAAGCAGATACAAATTTTACAACAATCAGTACGAAGGTTGAAATCTAGGGTTACATCTTTAAAGAAGTTATTAAAACAAAAATCATGCTTGCAAGAAAATTGTGAAACCCCAACAAAAGTTAGTATTATTTATAATTTTGTAAGGCCATTCAATAGTAACTAACTGTCTATATTTTTAAAAAGAATGGTATTCATTAATTATATTTATTTCAGGCTCCCTTGCCAGAATCTGTTAATGGTCTTCTTGAGAGAATGCAGAATGGACACAGAAATCAAAAATATTCACCAGGACTTAGATCTTTTGCTCTTACTCTAAATTTTTACTCAACAAGGGCATATAAGTTTGTGAGAAAAACATTTAATAACTCACTACCTCATCCTACAACATTGTCAAAATGGTATGCATCAATAAACGGTGCTCCAGGATTTACACAGGAGGCATTCACTACAATAAGAGCAAAAGCTAATGAAGCTAAAAAACAAAATAAAACTATAGTTTGCAACCTGGTATTTGATGAAATGTCGATTCGAAGGCAAGTTGAATGGACAGGGAAAAAATTTTGTGGATTTGTGGACATTGGTGCTCGTTTTGATAGCGATGAACTTCCACAGGCAAAGGAAGTGCTTGTATTTATGCTAGTTACCTTAAATAGTTCGTGGAAGATACCTGTAGGATATTTTATGTTAGCTGGTATTGGTGGAACTGAAAAAGCTGCGTTGGTCCGGAAATGTTTGGAATTGGTACATGATACTGGAGTACTAGTTACCTCCATAACATTCGACGGGGCTCCAACTAATTTAAAAATGGCAATGGATTTAGGAGCTGATTTTAGAATATCTTCTATGAAAACTTACTTTAGTCATCCAGTTACAAAAGAAAATGTTTTTATATTTTTAGATCCATGCCATATGATCAAATTAGTTCGTAACTGCTTAGGATCCCAAAAAAATATTAGAAGATCCTAATAAGAACCAAATTAATTGGTCTTATATCGACAAGCTGGTCAGTCTCCAGTATGACCAAGGCTTACATGCTGCGACAAAATTGCGAAAGCGTCACATCATGTGGACACAGGAAAAAATGAAAGTTAAAATTGCTGCTCAAACTTTAAGTAAAAGTGTAGCTGATGCACTATTATATCTTTGTAAAGATTTAAATTTATCTGAATTTAGAGGTGCCGAGGCAACTGCTAAATTTATTCAATATTTTAACGATTTATTTGACTTATTTAATTCAAAAAATAGATTTGCTAAATATTTATACAAAAAACCATTATCCCCTAAAACAAAAGAACAGTTTTTCAGTTATTTAGATGTTCTTAAAGAATATATAATCCATCTATCCTATGGGTTAGTCAATATTTTAGAAACTAAAAGAAAAACTGGATTTCTAGGTTTTGTTGTTTGTATAGAGAGTCTGAAAGGTCTATATGATACTTATTTGGTAAAAAATAATAATTTACAATATATTCTAACGTATAAAATTTCTCAAGACCATTTAGAATTATTTTTTGCTGCTGTGAGGAGTCGTGGAGGATTCAACAACAACCCTACCGCAAAACAATTTGAAGGAGCATATAAAAGATTAATAGTTCATTCTGAAATAAACGCTGGGAATACAGGTAACGTCATCAACCTTGATGCAACCTCAATACTGTTTTGTGGTAGTGGCAAACTGACAAATACTGAAAATGTCGAAGATTTATACCAGGCTGCTGAACAAAAATTGGAAGATGATATTAATAACCTAAATTTTCTAAATTCCTCAAATTGGTGTTTGACTGATTATGTGAATGATATTGTCTGTTATATTTCAGGTTTTGTTTCAAGGAGTTTGAGTAATATCTTAACATGTGCTAAATGTAAGCAATTATTATTTGATGCAAATGATGAAACTTACTCTAAACTTCAACAGAGAAAACAGTATAAAAACCTCTCAAAAGCATCTTTTTTGGTTATTAAAACTTGTAAGGAAGCTGAAAAATATTTTAGATTTTTTAATAAAACTGTAAATATCTATAACAGACGAGTTACAAACCTCATGAATATTTTAATTAATAAAACCATGCAAAATATCCCAAAATCAATTTATGAGCATTTTGGTGACCATCTGTATGATGAAGATGCAATCGATGGCCACTCTATGCAACTTTTAAAATTGATTCTTGAGAAATATTTTAAAATTAGAATTCATCATGAAACAAAGACTAATTTAGATGTCAACACCGTGCGCATAAGAAGCGTTCTTACTAAGACTGTTTTATTTCGCAATCAATAAATTTATTTCTGTACCAACGTCTTCTATTATATCTATTTACCATTTTTACTTTAATATTTCTGTTCGCTAAATAGCTTTTCAATAATTTATACATTTTCACGCCTACTTTTTAATATATTTGCAAATAGTTGTCAAACGCCAGCAAGAGCTTTGGAATGATCAATAAATATTCTTGTAGCAGAAACCCATACTACGAGGATTCTATGCATATTGTATTAAAACAATTTGAAAAATATGTTTAAATACATTTTATTAATATATAGTTATTGTAATTTATCTCAAATTAATGTGATACGTAATAGCCAGAAATACTTTTTCGACTTAAATATTTCTAGTTTATCTAATATAATTGTGTCGGAACGATCAGATCCTTTGTTTGACAAAATTGTCCATCATACTCCAGTTTCTTTGGGATTGTTTGTTAATGTTAGCTTATCAACTTTGAATTATGAAGAATATTTTGTAGATTTCAGAAATGGTGATTATTCTAGCATAAATTATCTTTTGGCTGAGATTGATTAGAAATTAGTTTTCGTCAACAAAAATATCAACGAGACTATTGAAACCTTCTATGAAATTCTATACAATTTAATACATAATTTTGTACCCATTAAAAAATATAAAACATCCACATATTCTAATTTGTATAACTGTGATCTAAAATCACTAATATTAAAAAAGTAAACTGCTCATAAAACGTTCAAACAGATAGGTAGGGAAGAAGATTATAATATATTTTCAAGTATTAGAACTCAGACGAATTCACTATAAAAACGACATGTTCAGGAAACTGAAAACGATATATATGAAAACCCTAGATAATTCTAGAAATTTATAAATAGTAAAAGAAACTCACATATGTTACCATCAGATATTAAGTATGATGATTATACTAGGGAAAGTAGTCAAGAAATCGTTGATATTTTTGTGAACATTTTTTTCAACAGTCTACAATGATGTTGTAGTTCAAATTCCTATTTTTAAATATGAGAAATCTGCGAATGTAAGTAAATTATGTTGTTAACATTAAGGAAATAATTGATGAGATTATTGTATTTAAAAACAAGTGTATACACTTGGCAGCTAAAAACTACCGTGCAGTTTGTATGCAGTCAGAGCTACCAAAACTATCAGATTTTTTGTAAATAGAATGTTAAGTTTTGATTGTAAAAACATAATAATTGGTGAACAACATAGTTTTAGCCCTGATAAATCCACAGTTACAAATCTCGTGTATTATACAAATTTTATCATTAACTCGTTGGAGTCAGTTCTCATTTTTCATAAGCTTTCGATAGAGTCCATCATGAGAACTTGATTGCCAAACTTTGTGGCTATGGCATTAGCGATAATATCTTGGATTGGATTAAACATTATTTGTCTAATCGTTCTCAAATGGTTAAATATGGTAGATTTTGTCAAAACCAATTCATATAACATCTAGTGTTCCACAAGGTTCTCATTCGGGTCCGCTGCTTTTTAATATATTTGTTAACGATTTACAAACAGTAATTAACTTCGACCAATTTCTCTTATTCGCTGATGACATAAAAATCTATTGCTTGCCGCTCTGATTGTGAATGTTTGCAGTTGTCCTTAAATAATTTTTCACGTTGTGAAAGTAAATGTTTTAAACTTAAATCTAAAAAAATGTTTTAAAATCACGTTTAATAAAACGCAGGCTTCTTTTAATAATAATTACACACTTAATGGTACTGTTCTGCAAGAGACACGTCAGCTACGGGATTTGGGTATAACACTGGATAGAAAACTGAAATTTAAAATGTTAGGATTTATTTAACTAATTCAAAGGACTTTTCAGTTTTTACATTTAAAATATACTGTTCGCTAGTACGATCAACTATAGAATACCGCTGTATTATATGGTGTCCTTTTTATAATACCCAGAAAACTTAATCAGAAAAAGTTCAAAACAGATTTTTAAGGATATATTATGTGGTTATAAAATGGGTTTAAGACGTGAAGATTATAATTACAGTTAT